GTAATCCTACAGACGGACAGACGGACAGACAGGGCTAGATCGACTCGTTTTGTCATGCTGATCAAGAACATACATATATACTTTGTGGGGTCTGCCACGCCTCCTTCTGCCTGTTACATTTTTAAGCCTGCGCCTACCTTATATACTCATGTAAGTACATTTCATGAAGATAATATAATCATTGGAATATAGAGCTTATAGTAGGGGAAAAAATAGATCGCCACAACAGGACGCAAATTTATGAAATTACATCCCGACATTGCGCAAAGTTCCAAATGTTATAAAAATTGTACAAATAAATTTCATTTTTAATAAGTCAAATAAGTGGAATTCTTTAGTGGGATGAGATTCGCTTCATAAACATTTGCTTTGTATTTTTTTTAACAATTAATTGGCGTTTCCGCAAGTTCTCGCTGGCTTAATTCAGATGGCATATTTGCTTTTTATTTAACTCCGAAATAAAAACATTCGAAGTTCTGTGGCACCGACGGATTTTTTTTTTTTGAGATTTCAAAAACAACTGTATCTTGTATATGTCTGTATGTTTTATCGTAATAGGCAAATTTTAAAGGAAGTTGTAGCCATAAATGTAATCATCCAAAATGTATGCCTAAGCTCTGCCAGCAGCTATTGATGTTGTTGTTGTTTTGGTTCACATTGATAGACCAATTTTAATGGAAGTTAGGGTTATAGATGCTGATGCAAATTAACAATTGTGCACCCGTTGCGTGAGTTCGAATCCCGAAAAAGATAGAATCGATAAAAAAAATTAGTTTCGTTTTTATTAAATTTTGTTTATTGTTTTTTTTTTTGTCCTTAAATTTTGGTAAATTTTAAATTTCTATAATATTCTACACAGAAGGAAAGACTTTTTCGAAGACGGGTCACCAGACCAAAGCTTTTACACTTGTTTTTAATTCGATTCACTTGTTGTAGTAAAGTTCAGTACTTTCCATACATGCTCTGTTGACAGCAGGAATTATATATCTCCTCAAATGGCCATTAACCGTAGGTTTTACCTCTTTAACGAGCTTGAGGTTTGCAAATGAAATAATTCAGGGTCTTATTAATCTAATTCATCTGCTATGCAAGGAAGCAGTTGGAATTGGATGCATTTACTGGTGCTGTGTTTTGATCAAAAATATAAAATAAGCTCTTGTTGCCGTCCGGCTTAGGTTCTTAGATTCTAAATGCCAGGTTTGGTTAGAGGCTCTCATAGAAACGGACGGATATAGCTAGACTGATTTGTCCCGTTATGCTGATTTACTACTAAATAGTGTAACTGGGTTGGAGATGTTTCCTTGTGTCCGTTATATATTTTCACACTCTTTATCTCGTAACCATTTTGCCCTTCTGTTACAGGGTAGAGGTACAGATAAATGCATTTCAAAATGCAAAATCGGGGTTTTATTCTTTGACTCAAATGCAGGAATCAGCTGAATTTAGGGCTGAATTTAGGGAATAAAGCAAAAAGTCGTGTAAAAAAAAAAATTGATCATACATATGTTATTTTGAATCGTGCTAAATGGAACAAAGTCGTACAACCATATATACAAGTATGTAAAATTTTTAATTTTCAAACCGTGTTAAATCAAAGCCGTGTAATAAAAGACCGTGTAAAAACAGAATTAGGTGTATTTTTATATGACACAACTTTTATTTACAATTATCTGAAAACGGTGCCAAATAATGCCTGCTTCAAAAAGAAATTAGTTGTTTAAAACATGATTCAAAACTGGCTATGAGTTCATCTTTGCAGCCTAGTATATTTGAGACAAGAGAACTATATAATGTTTCGTTTTGTACGTGTATGTACACATGCATATGCATTTATTATAAAAAGTTAACAATTAAATATTGTTATCGGTCTTTTAGCGGTTACTCTAGCTTCTTTTTTTGAAAACTCTGACACCATCAGCCAACAGTGCTAGCAGCCACCTGCCATTAAAACTAAGTCAGCCGCTGCATGTTGCTTGTTGTCGCTTGCCGCTTGCCAGTGAAAAATGTATGCAACATGCAGTCACTAGTTGATGTCGACGTTGCAGTTGCAGTCACTAGTTGATGTCGACGCCAATATTGAACTGGACTGCGTCGTGTGTGCCGTGATAATGAGCATGTAGCTTCGAGCTTTAGACGGGAATTTTGCGGGCGCCGCATGCCGTTTTCTGCTTACTCGTTCCGCGGAACCAAGCAGCAAAAACTCGCTCAATGGGCCGATACTGTGCTGGCGCTGCCACAACTAATGCTGCTATGTATTGCTGTTGCCACACGCCGGCCAGTTGCCTAATTTTTGTTGGCCAGCGGCGGTAGTGGCGTTGGCAGCAGAACTGGCGGCGGCAAAAGTAGTGGTCTAATTGCCATTTGTGGAAAGAGAATGTTTTTGGCCGGAGCAGCAGTTGCAGTTGCAGTTTGCAGTTGTTGTTGCCCCGGCTCTGGTTCCGTTTGTAATTTCGTTGTCGCAAGAATATAATCGCGTATACATACATACAGACATATGTGAATATATACTATACATATGTTGCATGCTTGTATGTAAGTATGTATGTAAGTATGTATGTATGTATGTATGTATGTATTTATGCGCGAGCGGTTAGTCGTGCCGGCATTTACTCAGTTGGCTTTATGGCGAAGCAAGCTGCAAATTGTTTGCAATCAGACGCTCTAGCTGGTTTCAGCACAGACTAGGCCGGGCAGGCCAGGTCGGGCGTTTGAGTAATTTGATATTGGCAACCAGATTCGCTTTCAATGCATTTGTGTCAGTATGTTGTTTTTTTTTGTTTTTATTTTAATTGCTCTATGAGCTTTGCACAGATTAATGAAGCAGGTGCTGGTGCTATTTGCGTCCAGACAGCCGCAAATTCTTGCAAAACTTTTATAACCAACAAATTCTTTTCATGCCTATTCGATGCTTTTAGTGAGTGACTATTCATCGTCATCAATGTCTACATCTTCTTTTTGTTTTTGTTTCGCAAAAATTGTTATAGCAAAAGAAACAACATTCTGCGCTTGACTCTTTACTGCTGCCGCCACTTGATTTTCAGCCTCCTAAATACATAGATAGATGGGTTTTTATAGCGCTCGCTCGAAAGCATAAAAACAAGTTGTAGTCCACAGAGCGGGCAACAACTCGCAGCACAGGCATTGGCCAATAGTTTAGCCATAATTACAAATGGGTATAGGTTGTAGTCTTAATACTAGTTAATACATAGAAGCCAATGTTGCTGCTGAGATTTGCGACATCGTTGACACTTATCAAAGACAGGTGGCAGCGAACGTTTGACTAGCGCCTAGGCTCGCTTCCTCGCTGACTTATTTTCCAACGCACTTGCCCCGGCTGGACTTACAGCTACTACTATTGACTATTTTCAGAATGACCAAAATTCCATTTGAAAACATCATTCCCATTTTCTGCAGAACCATATTAGTATTCCCGCACCTATGTTTGTAGGTATTAATAGTTCATTTACAATATTTGAGTGTTGTGGTTTTTATGCTCTGTGCCGGGAGGGTAAAAGTTAATATTAATAATACGAACGCCTTAAGGCGTTAACTATATATGTATTCTTAATCAGAATGCAGAGACAAATCGGAATTAGACAATAAATAGCTATATTTATTGTTTGCTACTTCTATCGTTCGGTGTGTTATAGTTTCAAAATTAATCCTTACTTGAGTAATAAAGTTAGCAGGTTCAGTATTTAAGTTATATTATTCCATATTTCATATGCTTCTTATATCTAATCTCAAATAAACCATAATTTAATTTCCGATGTAAATGTGCAAATTTATATAATTATTCCACAATTGGGTACAGAATATTTCAAAGGCGAGGCACTCGACTTAAGCCTTTCCACTTGTATTTATTTTATTTAATTAATTTAAATTTTTTAAAATTTGCTTACATTTTTATTTCATTTTGTTTTTAGGAAATGCTATTTAAAGTCTGAGCATAGAAAGAGAAAATCGTTGCTGGCAATATGAATCAAATTATGTATACATTTTTTGATTTAGGATTAGTTCTAAGTTACAAATGTTAAATAAATAAGCAAAAGAAAACACAAAAACCAACAATTTTGGAACACAAGCCCAAGATAATATTAATTTTGGTTGTGGTATATAGTAGACTTGTCTTATACTTGTCATATTTGTTTGATTCAGACCAAGTTGTATTTTTACCGGGGAAACCCGACTTGGGAACTGTAATCAATGTTTGTCTCTACTTTACATTTGAAAAAATTCATTGAACTATTAAAAATTAAAATTTAATATATTTCCAGTATACCTAAGGCCACTAAAGAACTTTAAATCTACGTCGAGAAAATATTAATCAAATTATGAATTTTATTTTTATTTTTAAGCGTCTTGGAAAGGGTAGAGCAGGATTTAAAGTAGTCGGACTCGCATATTGCTTATTTTGTATCTTTGTATCTTTTTAAATAAAGCACTGTAAGCTGGACCTGAGATTCTAAGATAACGCACGATCAGCTGTTGGTGAAGAAGTGACACAACGCATGCGTGGCAGGTGGATGAAAACGACGATGACGCTGCGTCTATTGTTTTGGAATGCAAAGCACGAATTACAATGCAATTCAATGATGGCGGCGACGATGACGTTTTATTCTGAATGGAAATTGGCTAGATGTGCTGCATCAGCGGTCACACGCACAAACTGAGAGAGCCACACACGCACATTAACATGTTAACACAAGACACATATGTAAGCTTTAGTTGGTGTTCATATTCGCGTCGCGTTGAAAATTCGGTTAGCATTTGCTTTTGAAATTCGGTCCACACATACTTGTATATATGTATTTATATATAAATGTATTCCTAAGCCAACGCCGCTGCCAGCTTTTTAAGCTGCTGCGGCGCTGTCGCTGAGCGGTCTTCGCATGCTTGGCGGTACTTAGACAATCAGTTGACGTTGAATGTTTCGTCTTGGCGGTCGCTAGATTCAGTCGCTGGGCAGCAGCAATACCCAAACAACCGAAGTCGGGCTGCAAATCGAACTATCCCAAATTTTGAATAAATGTAAATTTAATAACAAATTAAATAAACGTACTTATAATGAAACGCGCCTGGTAATTGGAAACAAAATCCGAATTTGTGCAATTGTAGATGTAGATTGTACCTTTTTTTTGTTTTTACATCCATTTTTTTTTAAACTGTTGTGTTACATAAAATCAAAGGGTTTTAAAGAAATTGCATTGGTCCAACATTGAGGAACCAATTAGAAGTCCTAATAATTGTCGCATCAACATTAATTGGAGCTTCAAGACTTGGTAAATTTTAGTTAACAGTTTTGAAAATTCCACAAAGCTGAAATTATCTGTGATTATGTGCAATAGAACGGCCCACTAGTTTCAAAGTATCAAGACCAATTGAAAAGTCTAAGCAACAGCTGTGTGATTATAGTATATTAGTTAAAGAAAACTAAGAAATGGCCACGAAAAGAGGCCAAAAGGCGCTGCAATTGGTGTTGCTACTGATGCCACATCTTTGTTGCCAAGCACTGGACAGCGTTGCCAATCCCACATGCAACCTAAAGGACAATTGCAATTTAGGCGACAATTTGTTAAGTGTTGGTAACACTGTAAATAGTGACAGCGCCAACACGGGCGGTGACAAACTGGAGAACAAAATCACCTCCATATTCGAGGACAAAGTCAACTACAGTCTTAAACTGTTTGCGGATAGTGTTACGGAAACGATTATTGAGTACAGCGCCCTGGGTACCGCCAACCTCAGTACCTCCCAGACAACAACGGAGAGCGATTCGCTGGAAGACGACGATCAAGATGATTTCGAGGACAACGAGCGTGGTAAGTTACGGTACAAAGTCACAAATGAAAGCGAATCACCAGTTCCTGCGTTCGATTTTAATATCAATACTATGAATTGAAAATTGTAATTACCTTTATAGAAACCAATTCGAAGAACACTATAAATACATAGAAAACAGTAAAATAAGGAATCTAGAGTCGAGTGGGCTCAACTCTTAAATACCCTATACCAACTCCCACAAAAAAGAAAAACAAGATTTTAAAAACATTTTAAAAAATTACATTAAGTAAATATAAAATACTCAGTACATACATACATAAATGGAGACATATGCTTATGTACAGTACGGAATGGAAGTTATGGAAAATCATGAATAGCGGGGGAGTGGGATGCTTCAGAAAAAAAAACGCGCTGCTTTGGTTCAACTTTGTGCTGCATAGATACACGCATATAAACACACAGAGACACGATTCTGATGTAAATGTATGCTGTTGAAACTGTACATGGACATATCTCCACTTTTGTATGTATGTATTGAATAAATTGTATTTAACTTAATTAAATAATTTAATTATTATAATTGTTAATTTAATTTTTTTTTTCGTTTTTCCCTTTTTGGGAGGCACAGGGTATTTAAGATTTGAGCTTGCTCGACTTTAGCATTCCTTTCTTGTTTATATTTAGGTAGAACCAATAACTCCCGTAATTCTTGCAATTTTTCAACAAAATTTAGCAAATACCTCCAAATACTTGATAGGTCAATTTGAAAGTTATAAAATGTAATCTCTGCCCAAGCTCTGTTCGCAGATGTTGATGTTGTTGCTGCTTTGCACAAACACACGAGGCACGCACAGACACGCATAGGCTCGCATACACTCACATATACACAGTTCCTACGTAAATAACGGAAGTTCTAATACCCATGGAGGTATTATTGATCAAAAAATGTTTGTTATATTACAATTTTGTTACTTTCTTCAATTTTTAAGTTTTTTTTTTTTTTTTTTGAATTTCTTTAAATAATTATTCTACACATAAGTATACGCATAGAGTATTTCAAGTCGGAACACCCAACTTTAGCTTCTCCACTTGTTTTAAATGTTGAGTAGGAAATATAAACAATCCGGCCCATCGTATATAAATGAATGAATAATATGGTCTTAGTCAAGTAAGACAATATTTTAATATAATTTGCGTTTATACTTTTGTATGCAATACAAAGTGCAACAACAATAGCTGTTGGCAATTCATGGGCAGAGATCATTTTTATAGATATGGGATATAATTGTCAAATCTTGTGCAAGAATTTCGGAAGCTGTGCAACATTAGTAATGGCGAAGGCGTGGGGGTGTATCAAGAAAAACACAAACTTGTCCTGTTCAGGGAAATACATATAAATACAAGGCTTGGCTTCTAGCACTTTCTATCCGGATGAATAAATATTCCTTGTAACGCCTTCTACTTTGCTTCTGCTTTTAGTACGGATATATATATTTTTTATTAGCTAAAGTTCTCTCGGTATGTTAGGTACATGAGGTGTAGTAGGTAAGGAACGTAAGAGTAGCGATATTCCTTTTTTTTGATGTTTTTGATCCACCAGCTTCGCATTCGAGCGTTTATGTTGCCAAAAGCGTGTTAAAGAGTGGCTTCACTGTTTCAGGTTGTATCAAAGACCTCTAATCTTCTCTTTGCTAATTGATCTGTTTTTTCGTAACCCCCAATGCGGCTATTGCCCAGTATCCAAAGTAATACTATATGTATTATTTGTTTGCATACGGCTTTAATTTATATACCCTGTAACCGAACGGCAAAAAGGGTATATTAGTTTTGTTTCCCCGGGAGTTTATTTTATTTTATTTTATTTGATTTTCTCCCAAAACAAACTTTAGCATCAAATACGCTCTTCTTCTTCTTCTTTTTGCTTTTTCTATGGGCTCATAGAACTCAGGAGATTCGCTTGCGTTTTCCAGGGTATTGCACTGTTGAACCTGCGTGACTGTAGTATTCTCTCTTGTTTTTTTATACGCTTGGCTGTCATAAAAGATTTGCTCAATTTTCTTTGCTTTTAATAAGCCTATCTGAAAAGGACTTTCCTACTGGCCACAACAAGGAGCGTAGTGCTGGAATCAAATTGCTAATTCATTCTCTTAGGTTAATCTAATTTTGGTGAAATTTAAAATAGAGATAGGAAAAAGTTTATGTAATTTTTTTAATCCTTCCAGTTTCTCCGCTATTAGCAGTCCACAATCCACAACTCTCGAAATGTTTTGTATTTTCAGACAATTTTTAGTTTTTACGTTCTGTTTGTGCTGTTTGTGCTTATTTGTCTCAATACCAAGTTACATTGTAATACATTTATTCTAAAGTTACAGTCATAATTATCTCTATTTTTCAGTACCTGAAAGGTGAAAGAATGTAACAGACAGATGGAATCGTGGCAGGCCCCACAAAATATGTTTATTCTTGATCAGCATGACAAGACGAATCGATTTAGCCCTGTCTCTTGTTTGTTTGTATAAACACCTATGTATATCTCAGAAGCTATAAGAGCTAGAGACACGCAATTTCGCACACAGATGCTATATATGTTTTTTTGATGCGATTAGTTCTAGATCTCCGAGAGCTCCCGGTCGCAGTTTTTTATAACATACACGAATACTATATGTTCATACTCGTACTTCCATAAAATATGGCTATGTGCAGATCTCTTGGTAATTTTTTTACGGCGACGATTTAAGGTGATATTGATACGTTCGTATATATGGTATGTGCTACGTTAGAGGCCTTCACTGGCACCGCCGCTGCCAAACACTTCAGTTGTAATTTCTATCACTTAAAGCTTACATTTCAATTGTCCAATTGCTCATGTCGCGTACTTTTGCATAACCTTTCAATTGTCGAATTCGAACAACATACTCGTATGCATTGGTTTTTATCCGCATGCTGACAACGCGAAATTGCATAACATGTGCGTACATTAAATACATATATAATATAATATAATATCATATTATATATATAGTACATATACACGTGCAATATGTATTGTTCGCTTCAGTTCTCTAAGTTTCCAAAACCCATGGAAATTGATACATATACCGTTAAATGAATGGATTGTTTTTTTTTATTGCAAACATGTGTGATGGTCCATTGTTGGCTGATTGAAATCAAAATCTTTGAGTAGGACGTGCCCATTAATGCGTTTGGTCATTAACATATTACCACATTACCCCTCATGGCTGACTTGGCCGACCGTTTACAATTACATTTTGGCCAGTCGACTAATTTCAAGCGAACTACGTGACTTCCAGCACAGTGCCGCAAGTTGGTTTTGCATATCGGACATAGAGTACTATATCAGAAAGCACTGGTCTTTCAAGAATCTACAAATGCAGTTTCTGACGAGGCAAAACTTTTTTCGGGTCCCAGGGTATCATGCTCCACCATGAAGATAACAAGAAATACTCAATGTTTGCTCATTAGCAAGTCAGCTCGTTTTTTGTGCTGTTTTCTAACGATTGGACATGGCTAAGCATTAACTGCACTTATTCTTGCTAAACATTTCAACCTTGGAGTATCTAGCATTTGCCCGAATGCGCGTTCAATATTTGTGTACACACGAGTACTCGTACTTGAAGCGGTGCGGTGGTAAACAAAAAAAATTTTAAAAACATTTGGCAACTTCCTTCAAAATCGCTTACCAGAGGCCTTTGACTGGATCTGTCCCTTGCACTAACGCTTTTTCGTCACATTTCGAGAGCATTATTACATTTGTGACCTATACTAACTACTATGCTGCCGAATATTTCAACAGTTCGCAATGTTTCTAGCCTGACAATTATACAACAATTCAAAAATAAAGTTGTATGTATTTTTTAATAAAGTCCCGTTCTAAATCAACACACTTTTTTTAACTTTATAGATAAACAGTTTTGAAAATTCCACAAAGCCGAAGTTATCTGCGATTATGTGCAATAGAACGTCCCACAAGTTTCAAAGTATCAAGACCAATTTAATAGTCTAAACAACAGCTGAGTGATTATAGTATAGAAAACTAAGGGCTGCTGATGTATGGGATGGCGCATTTGACCGAATAATAAGCGTAGACACAAACTCGATGAGAAATGTAAGCAACTAAAAAAGGAATTCAATATCTCATATCTATGGGCTTAAAGCATCAGACACAAACGACTCTGGCATTCCATTCTTGTTTTCTTTCAGTGCACTGAAAAGTGAAAGCTTTTTTCAAATGCCTGAAATGATACAACTTGATCAATTTAATTAGTTGTCAATCCAATATTTGTTGAATTTCTGGGAATTCTCGTTATTGTTGCGATCATCGCTGGCCCGCAATTGACTTCACCTAACTGGTAATGTTCCGTTATTACATACGTATATGGGCATCGAAATAGTAACCAGTTTCTAAAAATTAAATAAAATCAAGTCATAAACGGATTGTTGCTTACACCTTCTCCCACCTTCCAGCTCTAAGTCGGATGACATGATGTGCAAATTTGACTGCCAAAAAAGGGTACTCATATATTCGTTCCCGTATACGTGTTTGTAACTGGCATTTGCGTGCAAGCTTGTTTGCCAATTGTTTTTTCTGTTCTTTATAATTTTAAATGGCAAGGTTTAATCGGAATTTAAAAGTCACGCGTATGTATCTCATCTTTTCTGTGATCCAATGTTTTCAATGATATCATTTGGCAGATTCCAGCTTGGCGAATTCTAAAATTATTAGGAACCAGCATTGGCAACGACAAGACCAATACCGAACGTAACTGCCAATTCAATGAACAAATAATATATATATGTAGTGTAAACAATGTGTCAGCTAGCTAACTGGCCGTACAAATAGCCAAAAAATAGCCTCCCTCATGCCCAACAACGACTAATACTGACAACGGCACCAAAAAAAGCCGCAAGAAAACTAACAGACTACCGCTCACAGTGGCTTCTTATTTGAATAATTTTAAAAATTTACTGCCACGTCAAGAATTATAATTCGTGTATGTGAATACAAATAAGAAGTCTC